CGTTGCGGCATGCTACGTCGTAAAGGAATTAGTGATATTCAGATGTCTTACAACTTTTATTCTTGCACATCGTGATGTTTAAATGTAGAGAACTGTGACAGAGAAGATTTCGGAAAGGAACTAAAACATGGGGTTGCAGAAAAGTGAGATTATATAGTTGTTGCCATGGAAGTTTCGGACACAGTTATTTATGGGTATTTGATATGTAGCAACAAATGAAAATTTATTGACAGCGAGTGATTTTGCGGGATAAGATATTGAACACATACAAGAATCCTTATGTAAAGCCCACATGACATTTGCGACTGAAGATGATGAAGCTGCTCTTGAGTCATTTAATGACATAAGTTCAGAAGTTTGCTATTAGTTGCTTTGTAAAGGTTCATGCGTAAATGTTCTTAGCACTTACATGGCATCAGATGTTTCGCTTTTAATGGTACTAGCAAAAATATGGCACTTGAAGGTAAGTCGTTCTGATAAAAAATAGTTATCTTGCGGTTACTTGCTTTTTGTTTCGCTTATATAAAATAGGTTTATTATTTCTTTTTCATAATGAGCGTAATAAATTTCAACCCAGCAAGGTTTATGCTCCCAAGAGTTTACTTTTGCATTAGTTTGACGTGTTTATAGATTTAAACACTTAGTTGAGGTCCTGCGCCTCTTGGTCGACCACTGGTCTGTGGAAAGCGGCTGCTTTGATACATAATTAACCTATCTGTATCTTATATTTTAATGAAGTTTGCTATCAGAGTTTTCTCTTTAGCAGATTGGTTCTATGAGCCAATAACGCTACCATCTCTCAATCGGTTACTCAGTCAATTTGTCGACAAGTCTGAATGTCTGAACTGCCTCAGCAATCAGCAGTACCTTACATCTGACATCATTTCTGTCAAAGTAACATTATTCCAGTTGTATTTGTTTTGTCCATCCGCTCATGATGGTCGTTACGGATTCGACTGGCATTAAATTAAACTTTCGTGTTTGTGCTGCTAATAACAGTGGAATTAGAAGACGATTCTGCTTGAAGCCATATACGGCATGGTATCGATTTGAGTGTAAGGAGTTATTCTTGATAACTCTACAGCTTCTTCTTCAAATCATATTTGAGGATCGCACGAAAACTTCATGAGCTACGATAATTTCCATTAGCACAAAAGCCTGAGTTAAATGAGAGTTTCCTATAGTATCAGAGTCCTGTAATAGCGCTTTTGACTTCGACGGAATTCTTTTGTTTAACAGCAGGTTTTAAGAATAGCAAATTCTCTCGCTGCACCATTTGTATAATCGTGTAAGCAAGTAGTGGTACACAGACAGTGCAGTAAGGGATATTCGTATCAGAGCCGAACTAATCGATGACAGACAAATGATTAGTAAAATAACATTAGCGCGAGGTTTCTGTAGGGTGATTCTTTGTCAAAATAATCTGAGCTCATGAGTAAAAGGGTTCCTGGCAAATGCGTTCTAAACATGTCATATCATTCCCAGCAAAAGCTTTTGGTATTTCAGTAGATAATCAGTTGTCTTAAATTAATGATTTGTTTACGTGTTAGTACCTACTGGTAAGAGGTCCATCGTGAAGACTGGAGTCCAAGGTGCGAAGACAGAACAATTTAGTGACGCTTAACGGGACATGTCACTATGATAGACTGGAAGATTGACTACGCTTGACATATGCGCTGTTGAGACAAATTGTATTTCTTCAGAAATTTACCTTCTATGGAGCGTTTCTGCATTGAGTTTAGTTTTCTGTCCCTTTTCGGTCGTGTTTTAAAACTTTTACGCTAAAATACCTTTATATCCGATTTGCAACAAATCGTCATCTTCCAGTGCGCGTTAGTGGACAGCTGAGATATACATAGGTGTATAGCGTTTTTCGAATATATGCAGTTTCGTTTATTTCGTTGTATTGTGGTGTTGGGGGTGTGTGCTAGAAGTTGTTACTTCTGT